TCTCTCTCTCTCTCTCTCTCTCTCTCTCTCTTTTGTGTTTGTTACTCTCTTGTAACAACTCTTATCTTCAGCAATTATTGTGTTGCAAGAACCGTAAAACTCTGACTAAACCTAAACCATCGAAAACGTATATGGTTGTACCAAGCCTTGGGCATATGGTGTGTTACGAGTGGGCCATAGCGCGCATGAGGGAACACAGTTCCAACAAAAGATGTGCTATGATATCTAACAATCGGTCTGTCTCAAGTTACTTGCTTAGTCAGCGCCGAAGGATTGCTACTATTTGGCTGGAGTCACAACGAAGTCAATTTTAGAGAGCATTTCAGAAACATTACAGCGCACAATAATGAATTCTGACGGGTTATTAAATGAGCTAACGCGAGCAAAAGTGGTTTTGAGCCCCCCCCCCCCCCCCCCCCCCCCCCTTTTTTTCCTCCCCTAAAAAAAGGGAGAAAGAAAAGGATTTGCAAATATTTAATCAATGAATGAAAGAATGAATGAACTAATAGTTGAATTTTTAAAAAGAAGAAAGAAAAATAGTGTGCTTGAACCTTAAATGAAAATGAATTAGAAGGAACACATGAAGGGGCGAAAAGACCGGAGTTTGATTCCCGTGTGTGAAGAATTAAAAAAAAAATATCAAGCATCTCGGTCTTTCTGCTGGTAATTGGTATCCCTCTCAACTCGGGACAGCCCTGACAGACCGGACCGGAGCCTGCCTCCTAAATGATTTTAATTAAGTCGAAGTGGGTGTAAAAACACCTACAATTACACGCTAATCTGTAGCGCCACCTCTTATACTGCATTTCTTCATTCAGTATCCGTCTCCGTTATCTTACGTGCCATCCCTAATTACACACCACGCCCAGAAAGACAATACTTTCCCGGATTTCTTCTAGAACTATTTCGGTAAAAGCTGACTGCTATAAATTGTGTTTGTGTATCACATAAGAAAAGGTGTGCGGGTTATTGGAGGGTATCTCACTTCAGTTTTATTTCGCAGTTTGTTTGTTTTTCTTTTCCTTTTTTTCTTTCGGTCTACCTAGCTTTGCCACTTTCCTGAATGGCCGTTATCGAGTCGATTTGTTCCGCTCTTCGCAAACAAATTATACATTGTCACGTAATAGAAGTCCGACTTGTGTAATGTCCCGTTGCGTTGTGACGTCAATAACAAAGCACCCGGACTTTTTTAAGCCTAAGTGATAACCAAACATCATGGACGCAATGATAGTATCACGTCTATTTTTAGCCTGAGCGTATTTGTCAGGCCCTAATAATGTATTAATGTCCTCTTCGTGTCCGGTTTCTCAGAAGCGATGTTGCAATTTGACGTACGCTCCGGTACTCTGACTCGAGTGTTTCTCCTTCTCCTTCTCCTCCCTCTCCTTCTTTTTCTTCTTCTTCTTCTTCTTCTTCTTCTTCTTCTTCTTCTTCTTCTTCTTCTTCTTCTTCTTCTTCTTCTTCTTCTTCTTCTTCTTCT